TCCTTTCCTGTAGTTTGAACAGGAATCAGATCCTGGGATATAATGACAGCGTAGAAGGGGCCTAATTAGGGCAGTCTCTAGTTTCTGTATTGCTTGGCAATATTACTTGTGATGACTAAAATACCTCTGAGATTCATGCTATGTTCTTAAATCTCCTAGTAAAGATGGGAACTTCGTAGCTCAGTTGTCTTAGTTGGCCCATTTAATGTAGTTTGTAGCCAGCCAGACAACAAAAGTGTATTTATATCTTGTCGAAGGCTTTCATGGCTGGAATCACTAGGTTCTTGTGGGTTTTTTCGGGCTATTTATATCTATATTTATATCTGTTTTTAATTGTTGGCTAATTGTATTTTATGATGTGTATTGTTTGGCACCGAATGGTGTCTGCTGGTAACCGTCCTCAGTCCCTCTTCAGAGGCGGGATGGATGGGATAGAAATGCTCTTAATAAATAATAAATAATAAAAGTAGGTCCTAAATGTGCATCAGTGTTCAATGGTTTGTATAATTGCTGGCTAGGTGTCAAGTTCGTTCTAGGATTTCCTATGTAATCATCTGCACCGTGAAACCAGTTTAAAACAGCATTAACTGGTCAGTGATTGATGGGACCTTACATTCATTTTTAGCTGCTCCTTTGGTGCCTTCTTCTCCCATTTGCTGTGATTTATTTTATTTTATCAGAAGCAAACCAAAGGTACAGTTGTAATGTATTTTAAAAAACACAAAGTTTAAAAACTTGGCATTATATTAAATGTCATTTGACCAGTAGCTGGCCAATTGGAGTGCCTCTGGTGTTGCTATAAGGGAGGTCCTCCATTGTGCATGTGGCAGGGCTCAGGCTGCATTGTAATAGGTGGTTTGTGGTTTCCTCTTCTTCACACTCGCATCTTGTGGACTCCACTTTGTAGCCCTGTTTCTTAAGGTTGCCTCTGCATCTTGTGGTGCCAGAGCGCAGTCTGTTCAGCGTCTTCCAAGTTGCCCAGTCTTCTATGTGCCTAGATGGGAGTCTCTCATCCGGTATCAGCCATGGCTTGAGGTTCTGTGTTTTACCCTGCCACTTTTGGACTCTCGCTTGCTGAGGTTTTCCTGTGAGTATCTCTGCAAATCTTAGAAAACTGTTTCTCGATTTAAGGTGTTGGCGTGCTGGCTGATATCCAAACAGGAGATGGGCCAGAGATGTCACTCCCTTGGTCCTTTCACTATTGGTTGCTACTTTCTGGTGGGTGTCAGATGGTGCAATACCGGCTAAACTGTATAATTTCTCCAGTGGGGTAGGGCGTAGACATCCTGTGAAAATGTGGTATGTCTCGTTAAGAGCCACATTCCCTGTTTTAGCATGGTGAGATGTGTTCCACGCTGAGCATGCGTACCCAGCAGTATACATTTGCTGTGGTGAGGAGCATTCTAACAGAGCTCACAGCTTTGTTGTGGCAAACAATGACAAATTCAATTGCAACTTTTAAGATGAAATTTATTTCAGCATGGGTTTTCCTGGACTACAGTTCACTTCAGATCCATAGAGTACAACATAAGAATTCTGACTTTGGCTGGAACAAACAGAACAGCCTGACCCATCTCCTCCAATCGTCCCAATTTAGCAGGAGTGTTCCCTATTAATTCTTCATCATCCCGCCTTTTGAGTTACCTTTAAAATGCCCCAGCTTTTCTCCTCTCCTTCCACTCTCCCCTTTTATCATCAGCTTACTTCGATTACTGCAAACTTTTCAAAATACAAAAGTAAGCCACAGCCAAGCGCTGTAGTCTCTCCTAGGTTGTATGTCATTCAATTTAAAATTTTGGCCATCTTGACAACATTCTCCTGTTGCTTGTCCAAACACGTTCCAGTTTTCATCTGTGAAATATTTAAAAATATGTTGCAGAAAGTTGTGGGATGGATAGAAAGTCTACTGGTGGGATTCCATACCTTTTGGCCTCCTGGTGTTTTTGACTTCAGTTCCCACAGTTCCTAACAGCTGGTAAGCTGGCTGGGATTTCTAGGAGTTGAAGTTTAAAACACCTGGGGGCCCAAAGGTTGGGAACCACTGGGATGAAAAAAATTTGGGTTGCTGGATAGCCAGTTGTATGAGGGAATTTGGGTTTCCCCTGACATTAAGTCCATTCATGTCTGACTCTGGGGGTTGGTGCTCAACTCCATTTCTAAGCCGAAGAGCCAACATTGTCCATAGACACCTCCAAGGTCATGTGGCCAGCATGACTGCATGGAGTGCCATTACTTTCCCACCGGAGTAATTCCTTATTGATCCACTCACATTTGCATGTTGTCAAATTCTAGGTTGGCAGAAGCTGGGGCTGACAGCGGAAGCTCACGGCGGTCCCAGGATTCAAACCTGTGATCTTTCGGTCAACAAGTTTAACAGCTCAGCGGTTTAACCCACTGACCATTGGGGAATTTGAAAGGTGGAGGGATCCCACTCAATTCTACCGTACTACCATTAATTAGTTAAAGGGGTGTTGAACTGCATTAATTTGACAACATAGATACACCCTATGTCTCAAAGAGCTTTTTCACATTACACAGTCACAGCCCCATGATCCCCCTTTAATTGCCATAGCTGCATCCTATGAAATCCCAGGATTTGCACTTTAAGAAGGGTATTTCAAACTCTTCTCCTAAGAACTCCTCTAGAGTCACACCAAACTGCAAACCACAAAATATGTGAAAGCTGAATCAGTGCTATATAATAACTGCATAGCCTGAATGATGTTTTTAAGACTTAAATTAAGGAAGGCTCTTGATTTAATATAATGGTTTTTAATTATATGCAAATTATGATGACTGACTATCCAAATCAAACTCACGTTATTAGTCAGATATGTGTGGGGTTTTTTTTTAAAAAAAATTAGAGGACAGCCCTGTTTAGCATGCAAGCAAGAATAACTCTCAGATTTCATTTAGCAGTACAAAAACATCACATATGTTAGCCCTTGCATGCTCAGGTACATACAAATGGAGGAGAGTTCTAGTTTACTATAACACAAGGGAACGAGCAAACCATGGGAGATAACGTGCATGCTTTTCATGCAGAAAATCCCAGGTTCCAGAAGTCCTGGATAGGACTTTTCAAGTCAAGTTGTAGACTTTTAGCTCTTTTTTTTCCCCTGCTAGAGTCACAACTGTATAATACATCAATATGCCTGCAAGCTTGGCCACACAGTGACAGTGGAAGATGCCATTCCTGTTTGTTTTGTAATGCAGCAGGACTTTTTAGATTCGAACCTGTAAAGGTAAGGGTTTCCCCCTTGACATTAAGTCTAGCTGTGTCCAACTCTGGAGAGTGGCACTAATCTCTATTTTAAAACCGAATTGCTGGCATTGTCCATAGACTCCTCCTAGGTCATATGGCAGGCATGACTGCATGGGGAGCCGTTATCTTCTCACTAGAGCAGTACCTTCTGATCTACTCACATTTGCATGTTTTTGAACTGTTAGGTTGACAGAAGCTAGGTCTAACAGTGAGAGCTCACCTGCTCTCCGCATTCAAACCGCCAACCTTTTGGTCAGCAAGTTCAGCAGCTCAGCCGAGGGCTGCTGTTTACTACTCAATGTGTACTACTTGTACATTTGGAAGTTGTCTTGATTTTGATGACACACCTTTTGGTTCTATATGGACTGTGATCTTTGAATATTGTGCCTTGCTCTGGGCTGCTTAAAGGGAAAACAGGCAATTGAATTGCTTGTAGTGGAGTAAGTGCTCTATGCTTAGACCTCACACATATCTGTATAGTTCCTGACTTACTTTTGACTTTACCTGACTTACTTTGGACTTTACTTTTGCAGAATTCTTATATATCACTGCTGATAATGGAATGATCTGTACTTAGACAAATATCTCACCTATCCAAGACTTTGTTGACTTTCTGCCATCAAACCAAAAAACAAGAGAGGGATGACATCTGCTGACTTTCCTTCGTCTATGTTTTGCGACCTCATCTCTGTTCCTATGTAGAAGTTATTGGTGGAGGGCTAGGATCTACTTGTTCACTCTAACTTTGTAAGGAAAGCCCTTTCTGAAATGGGATAGAATTGTAGCCTCAATTATATAATGAAGTAAAATGAAGTAAAATCAATAGCCCATCGTCCATTGCATTTGAAGGCAAATAGGTATAACAGTAGGTGGCTCCATTTGGTCTCTCCTAACTACATTATTTTATTATTTATTTATTTGCCATACTTGTACCCCACCCTTTTCTACGCCAACAGTGGCACTCAAGGTGACTAACAATGGCACAACGTACCTCAACAAAATCACCTAAACATTTCAAAAATTGCAACATATTCAACAGAGTTAAAACAGATTTTAAAAGTTAAAAACTTAGAAAATACTCCATCCAAGTTCATGGTCTGAGTCCGTTCCAAGGTCAATTGCACAAGGTTTCGATTCAAAAATACTGCATTGCCTTAGTTTCCAAAGGCCTGCTCACAGAGCCAGGTTTTGACTCTTTTACTAAAGGCTAATAGGGAGGGAGCTGCTCTGATGTTGTTGGGGAGGGAGTTCCAGAACTGAGGGGCCACCACTGAGGAGGCCCTGTCTCTCATCCCCGCCAGCCTCGCTTGTGAGGTTGGTGGGACTGAGAGCAGGGCCTCCCCAGAAGATCTTAATCTATGTGCCGGTTCATAGAGGATGATACATTTGGACAGGTAGCCATTTAGGGCTTTATAGGCTAAAGCCAGAACTTTGAATTGTGCTCGGGAGCAAACTGGCAGCCAGTGGAGCTGACACAACAGGGGAGTTGTGTTCTCCCTGAGCGTCACTCCAGTAAGCAATCTGGCTGTCACTTGCTGGACCAGTTGGAGCTTCTGAACAGTCTTCAAAGGCAACCCCATGTAGAGTGCATTGCAGTAATCCATTCAGGGTATAATCAGAGTGTGGACCACTGTGGTCAAGTCAGACTTCCCAAAGTACGGGTGCAGCTGGTGCACAAGTTTCTTTGAATCCCACATTCCTCTCTTATAGTCAAAAATTGATCCCACCAGTTGGATATAACCTCAAATAATATTTTAATGGAGATGGTCTTGCTATTAGAAAGACTGAGGCTACAGTATCACCATGAACAGAAAATGTACATGCTGTCATTACAATTTTTTTTAACTTTCAGGAAGAGTTGGGGAGAAGAAAGGGCTTATTGAACTGTCTGCTGCAGGTGCCGAATTATGTGATTAGATCTTCCTTGGGCATTCTTTCACATTTACCTGGGGTTGGGATGGAGGAAAGCATTTGCCCCACTGCCTCAGGCAGAAGAATATCTTGGCCCGTCCTGGATGGGGAATACAGATCCTCATGCGCATATGCGTCCACAATCACTATGCAATGAAGGAAGAAGGCAGCTCTACTCACATTGACCTCTCTAGCTGGACTAAGGAGGAGAAAAAGCTTTCAGATGGAAAATTAATGGGCTGAAGGCAAGCTTGGAAAGAGGTCTCTAAAACAGATGGTTGTTACTTCGCATCTTGAGATGTTGATTTGAAGGAGATCTACTCTATGACTGGCCGTCTTTTCCCTCTGAATTAATTAGTTTCCACAGGATTAGGGCAGAATGATACAATGGCAATGGATGATTAAGTAATATAGGTAGACAGGAAATTAATTCCCCTGGAACAAAATAGAGAAACAGCACCCAATGGGTAGGTCTAAATCCTCCTTGCATCAATCTAGGAGGTAGAGATGTGGGTGAGGAAAGAAGTTGGGGGGAAGGAAAGAGAGAAAACAGAGAAGAGAGGGTGTGCGCTTAGGGAGGACATCGGTGCAGGGTTGTGGTGTCGAAGAGTGGGTTGTGGATCTCCATTTCTCCACTCTGTGGAAAAAGAAATGGAAAAGAGGTTAATCGGAGCATTCTTGGAAATGAAGGGAAGAACATTTCACATTAGTGTTGCCAGAGGTGGACTATCTCAGTCCCAGGGCCCTTCCACACAGCCATGTAACCCAGAATATTAAGGCAGAAAATCCCACAATATCTGCTTTGAACTGGGTTATCTGAGCCCACACTGCCATATATTCCACTTCAAAGCAGAATATATGGGATTTTATTCAGCTGTGTGGAAGGGGCCTCAGAGATATCAGGACGAAAGCCAGAGATGTAGGGATGACCCCTTGTGGTTGTGTAGAAGAAGAAATTGCAGCAGTTTTGCTTGTGACCTGCTTCTGAATATCTCTTCTACACAATGTTTAATGCAGTGTTTCTCAACCTGGGGGTCGTGAGGGGGTGTCAAAGGGGTCGCCAAAGACCATCAGAAAACGTAATATTTTCTGGTGGTCATTGGGATTCTGTGTGGGAAGTTTGACCCAATTCTATTGTTGGTCGAGTTCAGAATGCTCTTTGATTGTAGGCGAACTATAAATCCCAACAACTACAACTCCCAAATGTCAAGGTCTATTTTCTCCAGACTCTCCCAGTGTTCACATTTGGGCATACTGAGTATTCATGCCAAGTTTGGTCCCGATCCATCATTGCATGAATCCACAGTGCTCCTCTGGATATAGGTGAACTACAACTCCCAAACTCAAGGCCAATGACCACAAAACCCTTCCAGTGTTTTCTGTTGGTCATGGGAGTTCTTTATGCCAAGTTCAGTTTAAATCCATCGCTGGTGGAGTTCAGAATGCTTTTTGATTATAGGTGAACTATAAATCCCAGCAACTACAACTCCCAAATTACAAAATCAATCCTCCCCCCCCAACCCCACTAGCATTCACATTTGGGCATATTGGGTATTTGTGCTCAATTTAGTCCAGTGAATGAAAATATATCCTGCATATCGGATATTTACATTACGATTTATAACAGTACTAAAATGACAGGTATCAAGTAGCAACGAAAACAATATTATGGTTGGGGGTCACCACAACATATGGAACTGCATTAAGGGGTCACGGCATTAGCAAGGTTGAGAACCACTGGTTTAATGTATAGGAGCCACCACCCGTTTTTCAGTCTTGTGACATGACTAGCTATACCTATCACTCTCTTCCCAAGTATATGCAGGATTCAGTCCGAAAGCTCAGGGCCAAAGGGCGTCTGCTTGGTTTTGTTTCTTTCAAGCCTAAAGCATTTCAGAGCTACAGACAGACTTTAGACGTGCAGTCAGCCCTCCATGTTCACTGGGGTTAGGGACATAGAACCCCCATAAAAATGGAAAACTACAAATAAAGAAATTGCTATTTTTTAAAAACCTGAAAGCCCACATATCTAGGGATTTCTAGGTCTTCCGGCATGGCTATCGTCAGCTTCTTCTGGAAGCTGACAATAGAGATCACATTCAAGCAGTGGTTCTCAACCTGTGGGTTCCCAGATGTTTTGGCCTTCAACTCCCAGAAATCCTAACAGCTGGTGACTGGCTAAGATTTCTGGGAGTTGTAGGCCAAAACACCTGCGGACTCATAGGTTGAGAATCCGTGTCTGTTTCAACTTACTTCTCAAAGCAAACTGTTTCTAAAATGGAATCTGAGTCCTGAAGAGTCCCAGATCGGATCACATGGTCTGCAGCCCCTCCCATAACCTAAACTGGCTGGGACTTCTGGGAGTTGTAGGCCAAAAAAAACCCCACTGGTTGAGAATCACTGCAATGGAGGCTGTAGAGATGTTTGCTCTCAGTGGTTCCCAACCTTTGGGCTTCCAGGTGTTTTGGACTACAACTTCCAGAAATCCCAGCCAGCTTACCAGCTGTTAAGAATGGTGGGATCTGAAGTCCAAAACACCTGGAGGCCCAAAGGTTGGGAACCACTGTTAGGTCCTCAGCATGACTGGAGAAAGTTGACCATAATGTCATACTGGAAGATATAGAAATTCCTAGAGGAAACATTTGTCAAATCTGACAATAATAATAATAATAATAATAATAATTTGAAACACAGTAAGATGAGTCCACATATGCTATTTTTATTGGTATCCAAAGCTCTTCCAAGAAGGAGTTTCACAGAGGACAATGAACGCTGCACAAAGTTCTTTCGGGGAGATAGAGGCGGGGAACAAAACTAAAGTTATTGTTGTTATTATTATTATTAGAAACACAACAAGATGAGTCCACAGCAGACAAGATCGCTCTGCTGGTTGTTGTATTGGATCACACGTCGGACACTTTCCAAGTGTCTAGGACTGTGTGATGTATCAGCGGATAATGCGAGCAGATCCCAGTAGGGTGGCCTTTTGCAGCTGGCAGATGGTAATCTTGTCAGCACCTATTGTGTTTAAGTGCAGGCCAGGGTCTTTAGGCACTGCACCCAGTGTACCAATCACCACTGGGACCACCTTGATAATAACAATTATTATTATTATTATTATTATTTGTTAATTTGTAGACTGCCCTATCCCAACGAAGGGGCTCAGGGTGGCTTCCAACATATATGGCAAATATTCAATGCGAAAAAGGTAAAACATGTAAACAAATTACATCAAAACAGACCAGAACAAGCAATATAAAGCAACCTAACTTTAAACTTAACAGCAGACAAAAATAACAGAAGATGAAAACTGAAATGATCCCTACAAAACATAAACACATAATATAAATTTATCATTAGATTAAAAACATCTAAAAATTAATTGCTAAAACCTTATAGAAAAATGAGGTGGTATGCAGTCAAATCTGCATAAGCCACAACAGCAAATGTGTAGGGACAGATGTATAACAACTCATGATTTGGGTTGTTGTAGGTTTATTCGGGCTATATGGCCATGTTCTAGAGGCATTTTCTCCTGACGTTTCGCCTGCATCTATGGCAAGCATCCTCAGAGGTATTGAGGTCTGTTGGAACTAGGAAGAAGGGTTTATATATCTGTGGAATGACCAGGGTGGGACAAAGGACTCTTGTCTGTTGGAGCTAGGTGTGAATGTTTCAACTGACCACCTTGATTAGAATTTGATGGCCTGGCAGTGCCTGGAGCAATCTTTTGTTGAGAGGTGATTAGATGTCCTTGTTTGTTTCCTCTCTGTTGTTGTGCTGTTCTAATTTTCTTTTGAAACTGGTGATTTTCTTTTGAAACTGGCACTGTTTACTTATTATTCCATTTCAGTACAACTTCAGCCAGAAAATGAATCCCAAATCAGAGCCAAAACTGAAGTGCAGTTGCATCATATCGGCTTGAACTCATTCGCATGGCAAGAAAAGTTTCATAATACGAGTCTGCTGCAAATTGAGATTGGCTCTTACTCAGGCCTGCCTGGGAAGTAACATGTTCCGATGCTATTTTATGTGGGAAATGCTTCCTAGACATAGACAACTGGCAGGACAAAGTTGAGTTGCTGTGATTATATATCTTTCCATCCCTTTGTAAAGGGAAATTTTAGGGCATTAAAACAAGCGGGTCTCCAAACACCAACCTAAAATTGTTGAATTTCATTTATAGATTGGCTATAAGAAATTGTAAAGGTAAAGGTTTCCCCTTGACATTCAGTCTAGTTGTGTCCAACTCTGGGGGTTGGTGCTCATCTCCATTTCTAAGCCAAAGAACCAGCATTGGCCACAGACACCTCCAAGGTCATGTGGCTAGCATGACTACATGGAGTGCTGGAGTGGTACCTATTGATCTACTCACATTTGCATGTTTTCGAACTGATAGGTTGGCAGAAGCCAGGGCTAACAGTGGAAGCTCACCCCGCTCCTTGGATTCTAACTGCCAACCTTTCAGTCAGCAAGTTCAGCAGCTCAGTGGTTTAACTGGCTGCGTCATCAAGAAATAGGGCTGTTAAATCTCAGGACCTTAAATCTTCTCAAGATGAGGGGAGAATCTCAAGACAAGAGCACTGCATTTAAAAGTATATTACTCATTTTAGGCTTGTTTTTTTAAAATCTGAATAACGTGCAGTACAACTCTGGTTGATGCTTAATACATCATGTTTAATCACCTCTCCAGGATGTTTTTCTTATAACATCACCTGAGCCTGCCCCCTCTTCATAGTCATTGCTCACTGGACTGGAAGTAGTATCACGTGTTTACTAAGCAGTTGACAAAAACACTGTGTGCACAATTTCAGTGGCAAGCCAGCAGCCATCTGGCCAGCAGCACACCTGAGCCCTTGCGGCTGCATCTGAGCCCTTCCTCTCTGTTTTTGGACAGCAAAGAAAAAGTAACTGATGAAGAGAAGGGAAAATGGTGTTCTAGATCTGTGTCACAGTCCCAAAGGCAAGACTGGCTCTGCCATTAGGCAGAATGAGGACACCATCTTCGGTGACAAATGCTGTGGAAGCAGCAGGAGCTTTTTGTCCAATCTCTTTCAAGGAGAATGTAATTTTGGGTTGCTAGACAGCCTGACATCATTTTCCAAATGACCCTCAATTTCCTTCAACTGTCCTGATTTGGCAAGAATAAGCCATCAGGAGTCCCCAGTAGTGCAGTGGGTTAAACTGCTGAACTGCTGAATTTGCTGACCGAAAGGTCGCTGGTTCATACCCAGTGAGCTCCCGCTGTTAGCCCCAGCTTCTATCAACCTAGAAGTCAAAAACATACAAATGTGAGTAGATCAATAGGTATCGTTCCAGTGGGAAGGTAACGGAGCTCCATACAGTCATGCTAGCCACATGACCTTGGAGGTGTCTACGGGCAAAGCCAGCGCTTCAGCTTAGAAATGGAGATGAGCACCAACCCTCAGAGTTGGACACGACTCATAAAACCATAGAATCATCGAGTTGGAAGAGACCTCATGGGCCATCCATTCCAACCCCCTGCCAAGAAGCAGGAAAATTGCATTCAAAGCACCCCCGACAGATGGCCATCCAGCCTCTGTTTAAAAGCCTCCAAAGAAGGAGCCCTTCACCACACCCTGGGGCAGAGAGTTCCACTGCTGAACAGCTCTCATGGTTAGGAAGTTCTTCCTAATGTTGCATGTTTTCAAACTGCTAGGTTGGTAGAAGCTGGGGTTAAGACTGGGAGCTCACCCCCAATAGATGACCATCCAGTCTCTGTTTAAAACAACTGGACTTAATATCAGGGGAAAACCTTTACCTTTACCTACTAAGCCTGACAAATCCGATATCCTCCCCATAATACGATAGCATTGAGCCCTGACAGTGAAAGTGGTGCCAAGTTATATTATTTCTACAGAATACATGGGTTCTACGCCTTCACACTGGATCCAGAACCTTAGGATCCAGAGCTTCAAAAGCTTGCTTTTAAAAAGAGTATAGCTCTCAGCATCCTACCACCAACATGAGGATTTGTGCAGTTGCCATTTTCAAAAAGTAACTTTCCAAACTTCCTCGCATAGCGAACTTACCGGGGCCAGTCCAGGACATTCATATACAGTGTAATCTCCATTTTCATTTTCTGATTCTGTTGAGATCTGCTCTACTGGTTTGGGTGGTTCTCTACTATAGAAGGAGACAACAACATAATTATCTCATGAGACTGAATGGAAGAGACGCATTCTCTTGTTTCCTTCTTCCTCTGTGCTTTTCTTACATTCATCTAACTCACTTGGCTAATTACACAAGTAACGTGATTTTTGTTCCTGGGTTATAAATGTCATTCCGAACTGGTTCTATCATAAAAACATGAAAAAAGTTCATTCAACTTCAAAAACTTTGTTTTTGTAGGACATCCTGCAGCAGATTTTAATAGATCTTCAATGAATATCTCATTGAGTCTTAACCGATTCAACATAGTTTGTGGCAGTTGCAAAAACAATGTTTCTGAAATATAACAACTACTTGAGAAGTAAGTATCACACAATTGACATTAATACTTTCAAACCAGGAATAGATTTTTTTAAAAATTGTAATACATAGTGTTATTCTACCTCCCTAATGCATGTAGCGGTTGGATGTGCCTTCTCCAAAATGCTTGAGATCAGACATATTTTGAATTTTAGTTTTTGGTCAATCTTACAGTAACCACATTATAAATAATGAGGTATCTTAGGAATAAGAGCCCAAATGTGATTTTATACACAATATTTTTAATACTTTGTGCCTTAAACAACGTTTATGTAATTCATTGTCAAAGGCTTTCATGACTGGAACGACTGGGTTGCTGTGAGTTTTCTGGGCTGTATGGCCATGTTCCAGCAGCAATCTCTCCTGACGTTTCACCCACATCTATGGCAGGCATCCCCAGGGGTTGTGAGGTCTGTTGGAAACTAGGCAAGTGGGATTTAGATTTATATATATGGAATGTCCAGGGTAGGAGAAAGAACTCTTGCTTGTTTGAGGTAAGTGTGAATGTTGCAATTGGCCACATTGATTAGTATTTAAAGGCCTTGTAGCTTCAAAGCTTGGCTGCTTCCTGCATGGGGGAATGCTTTGTTGGGAGGTGTTAGCTGGACCTGATTGTTTCCTGTCTGGAATTCCCTTGTTTTCTAAGTGATGCTCTTTATTTACTGTCCTGATTTTAGAGTTTTAATACTGGTTCTAGAAGCATTCTCTTCTGATGTTTCACCTGCATCTATGGCAAACATCTTCAGAGGTTGTGAGGTCTGTTGGAAACTAGGCAAGTGGGGTTTATACATTTATGGAATGTCCCTGGTGGGAGAAAGAACTCTTGTCTGCTTGAGGCAGGTGTGAATATTGCAATTGGCCACCTTGATTAGCATTTGATGGCCTGACAATTTTTAGGTATGGCTTGTTACTGCCTAGGGGAATCCTTAGTTGAGAGGTGATTAGCTGTTCCTGATTGTTTCTTGTCTGGAGTTCTCCTTGGTTTGAGTTTTGTTCTTTATTTACTGTTATAATTTTAGCGATTTTTTAAAAATACTGGTAGCCAGATTTTGTTCATGTTCATGGTTTCCTCTTTATTGTTGAAATTATCCACATGGTTGTGGATTTCAATGGCTTCTCTGTGCAGTCTGACATGGTGGTTGTGAGAGTGGTCCAGCATTTCTGTGTTCTCAAATGATATGCTGTGTCCAGGTTGGATCATCAGGTGTTTTTCTGCTATGGCTGACTTCTCTGGTTGAATTAGTCTGCGCTGCATTTCATGTTCCTGGATTTGTGTTTGGGCGCCACCAAACGCAACAGGAAGCAGCCAAACTTTGGAGCAGCAAGGCCATTCAGTGCAAATCAAGGTGGCTAATTGCAACATTCACACTTGCCTCAAACAGACAAGAGTTCTTTCTCCCACCCGGGACATTCACAGATATATAAACCTCATGGTCTTAGTTTCTAACACACCTCTCAACCTCTGAGGATACCTGCCATAGATGTGGGTGAAATGTCAAGAGAGATTGGTTCTGGAACATGGCCATACAGCCCGAAAAACTCACAGCAACCCAATGTTTGTGTACTTTTAATCATTACAAAGCAAATGTGTCACTCTCAGACAACTATGTAGACAATTTTGGATTTTGGATAAGGGACGTTCAACCTGTATCACCCACTTTTTGGATGTGTTCCACACACCAGAAAGAAGGAATTAGAAAGAAAGAAAATGGATATCTTGATGTAGCTGCAAAAGCTTTTTGAAATCTTAGTAGTGGCATAACATTTACTCTTCACTTCTTATGTCTATTTAACTGCATTATTTATAAGGCAACCGCAGAACAAAACATTTGCCTGAGTGGCTCTCAAGTTTAAAAATAAACGCATTTTAAAAATACACAAGAATGCAATAAAAAGGTTGAAATATTCACATTTTGAAATATAGAACAGTACAATAGAAATAAAAGATAAAAAGCAGTTGCAAAACAACATCAGACCAAGAACAAAACCAAGCAACATCAAACAGAGCAGCCAAATCAACAAAATGAAAGAGTAGCCCCTGGCTACAATTTAAAAGGCCTTGGAAAATAAGGAGGCATTTACTTTGCACACAATAGGGCTAGGTGGGCTATATCGGCATTTCACAAATACCGGACAGAAAGAGTTCATATCGAAGAGCTGCCTGGTTGATTTTTTTCCCCGTGTTAGGAGTGACTTGAGGAACTGCAAGCCACTTCAGGTGTGAGACAATTGGCTGCCTGCAATTGCCCAGGGGACGCCCAAATGTTTTCGATGTTTTACCATCCTTGTGGTAGGCTTCTCTCCTGTCCCTGTATGGTGAGCTGGAGCTGACAAAGGGAGCTCAACCCGCTCTCCCTGGATTTGAACAGCTGATCTGTCAATCAGCAGTCCTGCCAGCACAAAGGTTTAACCCATTGCGCCACTGGGGGCTCCAACTGGTTGATGAGACCCATAAAAATGATTAATCAGTTGAGTAGGTGTGCCCCCAGATAAATGGTTCACAGTTTTGAAATTATTTTGAATCCAAGATTATGTTTGGGGTGGGTGAAAAGAAATCCAAATGCCAAACAAAGTGAAAAATGTATCTTCTAGGATCTTGTTCCCAAAACACAAAGGGTGTTTTGTTTAGTTCAACCATTTATTTACTTGTACACAAAAGTGCAAAGACGTGGCTTAATCAGCAAAAGGTAGATGTCTGCCACTGGTTGACAAATACCAAAAGACACGTTCTGAGACCAGAAACACTTGCCAAAACAATATGCCCTCCAGGTATTTGGGACATCAGTGCCTATTACACTCAGCCAAGAAGAAATTAGACATCTGAAAGCTGTCATGTTGGGTTGTTATGGATACACAACTCATTACATTGGGGTCCACAAATGGCAGAGGCTAGGGAGTAGCATTAGCTCCCTTACAGACCTTGGAAGGCAACCCCCATTTGCACAATACAAACTTTGTTTGCTTCTAAACATCTTCTACGAAACGTATAGCATTTACATCCCAGTTCTGCCCATCACCAGGGCTATTTTAGGTTCCAAAGAGTCCTTTTTAAACAACCAGGTGATAATGGTGTTTCTAGGACTGTACAGTTTTTAACATATGGAAGGATTTGTCTGTGTGTGTGTCAGGAGAGACTTGAGAAGCTGCGTCGCTTCTGGTGTGAGAGAATTGGCTGTCTGCAAAGACATTGCCCAGGGGACACCCAGATGTTTTTGAAGTTTTAACATCCTTGTGGGAGGCTTCTCTCATGTTCCCATTTAGAATACTAGAATCAAAGAGTTGGAAGAGATTTCATGGGCCATCCAGTCCAACCCCCTGCCAAGAAGCAGGAATATTGCATTCAAAGCACCCCTGACAGATGGCCATCCAGCCTCTGTTTAAAAGCTTCCAAAGAAGGAGCCTCCACCACATGGGGAGCCGGAGCTGACAGAGGGAACTCATCAGCACTCTCCCTCTGACCTTCAGTCCTGCCAGCACAAGGGTTTAACCCAGTGCGTCACCGAGGGTTCCTGGTAGGATGAGGAGATGCTATAGTGTTCTGTGCAGAACAGTAGCATGATAGGGAGAAACTAGACTAGGAGCTACTGCTGTCTAATGTTTTGTTTAGGTGCTATGGATCATGACTTGGGCAAGTAGTATGGGCCAACATTTGCTATTCTGCTACATCAAGCAAAACACATTGGCTCTGCATCTGGTTTTTGTCTCAGCCCTCCCATCACCCTCAGAAGGATTGTCAGAACAGTACTTACTCTTCACTGGTGAGGAGTTTCTTCTGATGTTGATAGTGGTGAACCTGGCAAGACTGAGCTAGTCTAGAGTCCATGTACTGAAGGGGAAGAGAAAGAACATGAGATTTTTAAAAAGCTTTTTTGTATCAGGTTGAATGATAATTCTATCTATCTGGTTTTGTCCAGCATCCTCCTGACTAGAAAGTTTCACATTGGGCTTGTCAGTAGGATCACAGGAGCTAGCTTTCTCCCATTGTTGTTCTTAACTTATTCAGAGGCATGCTCTCTCTTGCCCCAAAGGTAGTTATATCAAGATGACGAGAAGCCCCTGATGGTTTTTATCTTTCATGAATCTCTATAGGTAAAGGTAAAGGTTTTCCCCTGGCATTAAGTCCAGTCATGTCCGACTCTGGGAGTTGGTGCTCATCTCCATTTCTAAGCCAAAGAGCCGGCGTTGTCCGTAAACACCTCCAAGGTCATGTGAAGTGCCGTTACCTTCCCGCCAGAGCGGTACCTATTGATCTACTCACATTTCTATAATCTCTATTATCACATTTCTATAATCCAGTTTAAAGACATCTGATGTGGTTTCCATCACTGCAGCGTATGATGTGAGATCAGTAATGTAACCATACACCATATGAACTAGCATGCTTTTGCAGGGGTAAGTGTGCAAGATCACCATGAAAGAGGATAAACAGCGAATTTTCTTAAAAAAAATATTTTTTTTATCTGAGGGAACATCCCTCAAGCCCTTCAGCTTGAGTTTATGTCAACTTCTGCTGAAGGCTGACCAGCTACAAATACCCAAAGCAGCTACAAATACCCAAAGCAATGTTCTCTCTAGGAACATTGAACCAATCACTCAAATCTGTGACTAACAGTATGTAATACTATTTGTTCCTGGGTTATAAATGTTGCGATTTTTTTTTGTCGTGTCAAGAGCGACTTGAGAAATTGCAAGTCGCTTCTGGTGTGAGAGAATTGGCCGTCTGCAAAAACGTTGCCCAGGGGACGCCCGGATGATTTGATGTTTTATCATCCTTGTGGGAGGCTTCTCTCATGTCCCCGCATGAGGAGCTGGAGCTGATAGAGGGAGCTCATCCACCTCTCCCCGGATTCGAACCTGTTGCGATCAAGTCTTGTCAAGCATTGTTGTTTTGTTTGATATTGTGATATGGCCTAAGTGCTAATCTATAAAATTACTACTACTACTACTACTACTACTACTATTATTATTATTATTATTATTATTATTATTGTTACTGGGTTATAAATGTCATTTCCCAATTGGTTCTATCATAAAAACATGCAAAAGGTTTATTAAACTGCAAAATCTTTGTTTTTGCGGGGCATCCTGCAGCACATTTTGCTCTAGTTTTTCAATGACTATCTCACAGAGTCTCAACTAATTCAACATAGTTTGTGGCAGCCACAAAAACAAAGTTTCTGGATTATAATAACTCCTTTCAAAGTCAGTACCACAAAAGGAAACAGGAAATAATATTTCCAGACCAGGAACACAACATTTAAAAAAAATGTGTTACATAGTGTAATCAAATCTGCAAAAGTTAAACCTGTAAATGTGTGTGTGTGACTGTACTGTATTTCCTTCTGTGTGCATTAAATCTTCTGTTATTCAGCTATATGGCATGATCCCAGAAGCAAGAATTATGAAGGATTCTAGCATCTCACCTAGGTTTGCCAAATTGAGAACCAGAGAGAGCCCCTATATCTGTCATGACAGTGTAGAACGGTGGTTCCCAACCTGTGGGTCCCCAGATGTTTTGGTCTTCAACCCCAGAAATCCTAACACCTGGTAAACTGGCTGGGATTTCTGGGAGTTGTAGGCCAAAACACCTGGGGACCCACAGGTTGAGAAACAATGGTGTAGAAGGTAGAATTTCCGATGAGGCTTGGCATACAACCTGGTAACTAGCAAACAACTTCTCTTGAGATTTCCTATTATATGAAGCTACTAAAAGAATAGGAGTTCTCTCCAGTTTTCAGTCTGACAACTCTAATTTCACCTCATTTTATATATGTGTGTGTACACATCTACGGCATATAAAATGACAAAACCAATGACAAAAGCACTTACTGCACTGGGCTGATGGTACCGATACTGGTTCCCCCGATTGGCTGTGTATGCAATCTTCTGAGCCAAGTGCACCTCTTTCTGCAACCTGGGAATTAATCATGAGATCTTTTAACAGGGATTTAAAATATTTAATATGTTGATATTATGTGTATCTGCAAGAGTCCTATGCATTCTTACAAACTGTCTTTCTGCAGAGTTTCATTTTCTTCAATCTGGAGAGGTTACACACTCTGGCAATGCTATAGTACCATGTTAGCTTGTTACAATGATCGCCAAGATCCATATGCCACCCTCATGATGACGACCAACCCTATTCTCAGACACAGTTGGGCAACTGCTTAATCTGTTAATTTTAGGTCTAATAAAAGAACAACAAACTTTTATTTAATTAAGATGGGAGAAGCATGCCTATGGGATTGTTTTGCCTCATGTGCCAAAATAAATTTTCTGGCCTTTGGTTCAATTTACCTTGACTTGGGAGGAAGGGAAGTCATTTAATGTTCCACCTCAAGCAAAAATATTATTATGTAAAACAGAATAATAATAATAATAATAATAATAATAATAATAATAATAATAATAAGGATTTAAAGATCTAACTGTGCAGACTCTGGCAAAAGTCAGTAAAGGTGGTCCCAGTGGTGATCAGCACACTGGATGCAGACCTTGGCCTGCACTTAAAAACAATTGACGCTGAAAAAATTACCATCTCTCATCTGCAAAAGGCCACCCTACTAGGATCGGCACGCATTATTTGCCGATACATAACCTAGTCCTAGATACTTGGGAAGTGTCCAACATGCGATCAAATACAAAAGCCAGCATAGTGATCTTGTTTACTGTGTACCAGTCTTGTTGTGTGTGTAATAATAATAATAATAATAATAATACATTACACAAGTGTTCAACTTGTGATTTTTGTGATATGAAATTCAGCATATATATCTCATTTGCTGAGACATACTGTGTTTTGTGTCAATAATAATAATAATAATAATAATAATAATAATAATAATAATGATTTAAAGATCTAACTGTGCAGACTCTGGCACAAGTCAGTAAAGGTGGTCCCAGTGGTGATCGGCACACTGGATGCAGACCATGGCCTGTACATAAAAACAATTGGCGCTGAAAAAATTACCATCTCTCATCTGCAAAAGGCCACCTTACTAGGATCTGCACGCATTATTTGCCGATACATAACCTAGTCCTAGACACTTGGGAAGTGATCTTGTTTACTGTGTACCAGTCTTGTTGTGTGTGTAATAATAATAATAATAATAATAATAATACATCACACAAGTGTTCAACTTGTGATTTTTGTGATATGAAATTCAGCATATTTATCTCATTTGCTGAGACATACTGTGCTTTGTGTCAACAACAACAACAACAACAACAACAACAACAATAATAATAATATATTTATAACCTGCCCTATCTCCCTGAGGGGACTCAATGCGGCTTCCAGGCAAAAAAGTAGCAAACATTCAATGACATAATGGATGAACAAACAAATTCAAACAATACATAACATAACATCAGGGTAAAACTTATAGGAACAACCAAACTAATACACTCAGAATGTGGTGGTTAGCCCAGGGCCCTTACACACAATCATATAACCCAGAATATCAAGGCAGAAAATCCCACAATATCTGCTTTGAACTGGGTAATCTGAGTCCACATTACCATATATTCCAGTTCAAAGCAGAAAATGTGGGATTTTATTCACCTGTGTGAAGGGGCCCCAGAACTAGTAAGGTAAAGGTTTTCCCCTGACATTAAATCCATTTGTGTCCAGCTGTAGGAGTTGGTGCTCATCTCCATTTTTAAGCTGAAGAGCCAGCATTGTCCATAGACACCTCCAAGGTCATGTGGCCAGCATGACCGTATGGATTGCCATTACCTTCCTGCCGGATCGGTACCTATTGATCTACTCACATTTGTATGTTTTCGAACAGCTAGGTTGGCAGAAGCTGGGGCTAACAGTGGGAGCTCATGCCACTCCCCGGATTCGAACCTGTGACCTTTCGGTCAGCAAGTTCAGCAGCTCAGCGGTTTAACCCACAGCGCCACTGGGGGCTCCTAAGAGTGCCACAAAACTCTTTGCTATGTCATCTCTGCCTTCAAGTATTTGGATCAAATCTAATGCCTCATTTCATTTTGAAAGTAATCCTAACTTTATTCTAACTATATCTTGACATATTTCACTAGTCTGTCTTTTATCATAGTCGCTCCTCACACAGCTATGCTCTGTATAATTGAATCAGAGCAGAAACCATTTTAAGCTTACAGTACTCTGTGAAAGGGCAGTTAATATGAACTAGCCATTCCCTGCCACGCGTTGCTGTGGCCCAGTCTGGTGATTACATATATTGGTTTCTAATATATGTAATTTCTTTAAGCTTGTGGGTAAACAGTATTTATTGTTGTTTCTTTGTCAGTGTTGATGTAGAGATTGTCTGGTTTGCTTACTCTGGAACATGCAACATATAATTGTCCTTCTTTAGGAGCTCCTTTCAAATCTATGATACTATATCTCTCTGTGTGAGAATCATATCTATCTATATCTATGGCTGGGTGGCTCTTTGTTAGGAGCGTTTTGATTATGTTTTCTTGCCCTGGTGAAGGGAGTTGGACTGGATGACTTTAAGTATTTTCTGTTGGTCATGGGGGTTCTGTGTGGGAAGTTTGGCCCAATTCTATCGTTGGTGGGGTTCAGAATGCTCTTTGATTGTAGGTGAACTATAAATACCAGTAACTACAACTCCCAAATGTCAAGGTCTATTTCCCCAAACTCCATCTGTGTTCATATTTGGGCATATGGAATATTCGTGCCAAGTTTGGTCCAGATCCATCATTGTTTGAGTCCACAGTGCTCTCTGGATGTAGGTGAACTACAACTCCCAAACTCAAGGTCAATGCCCACCAAACCCTTCTAGTGTTTTCTGTTAGTCATGGGAGTCCTGTGTCTGCCACGTTTGGTTCAATTCCATCACTGGTGGAGGACAGAATGCTCTTTGATTGTAGGTGAACTATAAATCCCAGCAACTACAACTCCCAAATGACAAAATCAATTTTTTGAGTGATGGTCACTCTTTGGGCTAGTTGGTGCTTTGTGGCCAAATTTGGTGTCAATTTGTCCAGTGGTTTTTGAGTTATGTTAATCCCACAAACGAACATGATATTTTTATTTATATAGATTACACTCAATGGATGATCTATAGACGCAGCACCCTAAGTATAGTTTAGGAACATAAGTGTTGTTTGCTATCAAATCAAGTGATCCTATGAATGACAGCCCTCCAACAGTCGTATTCTATCAGTCTCGTTTGGGTGTTGCAGACGCAGGGCTATGGCTTCCTTGATTGGATTTATCCATCTGTTTTTTTATTAGCTTCCCCTTTTCTTATTGCCTTTTGCAGCATTATCACCTTTCCCAATGACTCATATTTTCTCATGTTACTTCCTGTGTATGATAAACTCAATTCACTCATTTTTGTTATTTTAGCTAAATGATTCTGAGAAGCCCTTAAATACAAAGAAAGATGATTACATTTAGCATTTCCATTTCAAATCATCTTTATGTTAAAACAAGGATGGACAAAATGTAGTCCCAGAGTCACATGGGGGTCAAGGTCCTAAATTTCTCTTCTCCTGCCGTGCCTAAAACATTGAAAGCCTCTAGAAACATTTTTTTTAAAATGGGAGGGTTTCCTGCTCCATTTAAGATGTAAAATGTATCCATTTTTTCAAGCCCAGATGTGAATTTTGAGGCACTTTGGGGTGTTTGGGATGGACTAGGGCAGTGTTTCTCAACCTGGGGGTCGGGACCCCTGGGGGGGTCGTGAGGGAGTGTTAGAGGGGTCACCAAAGACCATCAGAAAACACAGTATTTTAGGTTGGTCATGGGGATTCCATGTGGGAAGTTCAGTTCAATTCTATCATTGGTGGGGTTCAGAATGCTCTTTGATTGTAGGTGAACTATAAATCCCATCAACTATAACTCCCAAATGTCAAGGTCTATTTCCCCCAAAATCCATCTGTGTTTACATTTGGGCATATGGAGTATTTGTGTCAAGTTTAGTCAGAGGCGGCCCTAGGTAATTTTCAACGGTAAGCAAACAATATTTTGGCGCCGCCCCCCAACCAATCACTGATATATATTTTCTGTCCGTCGTGGGAGTTCTGTGTGCCATATTTGGTTCAATTCCATCATTGGTGGAGTTCAGAATGCTCTTTGATTGTAGGTGAACTATACATCCCAGTAACTACAACTCACATGTGTCAAGGTCTATTTTCCCCCAAAAGCGCCCCTGGGCAAAATCAACTATATTGCAAATGCTTACTTTGCGTAATGGGTTGAGCCGCCCCTGAGTTTAGTCTAGATCCATCATTGTTTGAGTTCACAGTTCTCTCTGGATGTAGCTGAACTACAACTCCCAAACTCAAGGGCAATGCCCACCAAACCCTTCTAGTGTTTTCTGTTGGTCATGGGAATCCTGTGTGTCAAGTTCGGGTTCAATTCCATCATTGGTGGGGTTCAGAATGTTCTTTGAATGTAGGTGAACTATAAATCCCAGCAACTCCCAAATGTCAAGGCCTATATTTCCCAAACTCCACCAGTGTTCACATTTGGGTATATTGAGGATTTGTGCCAAGTTTGGTCCAGATCCATTATAGTTTGAGTCCACAGTGCTCTCTGGATCTAGGTGAACTACAACTCTAAAACTCAAAGTCAATGCCCACCAAACCCTTCTAGTGTTTTTTGTTGGTCGTGGGAGTTCTGTATGCCTCACTACCTCTGAGGATGCTTGCCATAGATGCAGGCGAAACATCAGGAGAGAATGCCTCTAGACCATGGCCATATAGCCCGAAAAAACCTACAACAACCCATTCTAAGTATAGTCTGGTATCTTTAGTTCTTGGTAATAGAGTCTACAGAGCTGAGATCTGTCTTGCAGTAGCAACTGGCACTATTAAATCACCATGCACACATACTATCCCATCTCCTTTCAGAAGCTAAGCACGGATAGGCTTTGGATGGGGAAGCACTGGGAAAGATTTCCAAATGGAGCTACAAAGAAGACTTGAATGAAACCAAGGGACCTTCCAAAGAGGATCTGATCCCAGGTTTTCTGCTTTAAACCAGATTATATGAGTCCCCACTGCTAGATAATCCAGGATAAACAGAAAACCTGGGATCCGATCCTGGGATATAGGGACTGTCTAGAAAGCCCCCAAGAGAACCTTGTGACCAGTCAAGCTTTGATGATGTTGGCCCGAGTGGACCAGTGGTCTGACTTTTATGCAGCTTCCTATGCTTCTAACATATGGGGAAAGGAAAGAGGACGTTGTGATTCCTACCTGTACCAGCAAATGGCAGCTACCACAAGTCCAGACACCCCGGTCACTGTGCACATCACCACAAGAGCTGTAAGGATGAGAATGAAGGCTTTGAATCACTGCCAGACACAAATGGGCATGCCTCACAAGTTGCACTCTTCCCCGTTGCACTGTCTGTACATTCAGGCTTTGGGGGTTTTTTTCCATGGCAGGAGCAACTTGAGAAACTGCAAGTTGCTTCTGGTGTGAGAGAATTGGTCATCTGCAAGGTCGTTGTCCAGGGGATGCCTGGATGTTTTGATATTTTGCCATCCTTGTAGGAGGCTTCTCTCATGTCCCCATAAGATTCTCACAGACTGGACTTGAAACTTAGGGCCCTTCCACACAGCCTTATAATTTAGAATGTAAAGGGAGAATAACTCACAATATCTTCTTTGAACTGGGTTATCTGAGTCCACACTGCCATACACCCTAGTTCAAAGCAGATAGTGTGGGATTTTATTCAGCTGTGTAGTAGGGGCCTTAGGAACAAGCCTCCCTTCCCAGAGCAAGAGAAAGGCAAGATATAATACTGCCTTTCCTCATTTGTATGACTTTGAATGGCATGCTCTGTACAACGGTGTGGTTTTTAAGGCATCATCAGGGCTGTTCCTTGTAATAGCCTATGACATTAGGATATAACTGCATTATCCCAAAATAGGAATTTTCCACCAGTCTTCAAATTTCTAGCACTTTCTGTGCTCACATTCCCTTGATCAGTTTGTCTCCCCCTTTTTCTCTGTGTGACTATATTCCATTTCTAAATGCAAACTGACCCTATAACACCTTTGAGACTGAAAAAAAGTAAATAGCCTAACTTTTTATAGGCTTATACTGAAGTGCTTTGAACTGGATTATATGAGTCTCCACTGCTATATAATATGGGGTAAGCATATAATCTGAGATCAGAGCCTGGGACACAGAAAAGTTTAGAAGGGGCCTCAGTCTCAAAGGTGCTACAAGATCCCACTGCATGCTGATATTCCAGAGTAACATAGCTATGTTTTTGCATTGCAGTTCTAAATACTCAACTGAAATTTCAGAGTAGAGTATTACTAGAAATTTGAGGTTTGGAGGAATATTTCATAGGGGACAGAATAATTCTTTTTCACCCTTTGTTTTGTTGTTGTTGTTTTGTTTTGTTTTTTGTCGTGTCAGGAGCAACTTGAGAAACTGCAAGTTGCTTCTGGTGTGAGAGAATTGGCTATCTGCAAGGACGTGACCCAGGGGACACCAGGATGTTTTGATGTTTTACCATCCTTGTGGGGGGCTTCTCTCATTTTCCCTCATGGGGAGCCAGAGCTGACAGAGGGAGGTCAGTCGCACTCTCCCTGGATTCGAACCTGCAACCTGTCGGTCTTCAGTGGCTTAACCCACTGCGCCACTGGGGGCCCCTTTTGGGTAACTACACCTTAGGTTTGTCCCCAGGTCTTGGGGTTCGGCCTTAAATCTCAGGACTAGGGATTGAGCAATTATATCATCTCTCAACTCGTATATCCTGTATCACTCTTATACTCACTCAGGGTCACAGCTTTGTTCAGGTTAGTCACTGGGGGACGGGACCTTTCCTTGAAATCCACTTTCACTATCCGTGGGGGTGTGGTGGCCGGGACCGGTGTGCTTTCATAAGACTCAGAAGAAACTGGGATGGTGCTTGCAGAATAGGAGACATCCGTAGGGAGAGAGGTGGGGAAAGGAGTAGGGGAGCTGGCTGGTTCAAACTCTTCAGTGCTCTCTGAAAAGCAGGAGGAAAAATAGATATTAAAATTACAACAACACAACAACAGAGAGGAAACAAACAAAGACATCTAATCACCTCTCAACAAAAGTTTGCTCCAGGCACTGTCAGGCCATTATATGCTAATCAAGGTGGTCAGTTGAAACATTCACACCTAGCTCCAGCAGACAAGAGTTCTTTGTCCCACCCTGGTCATTCCACAGATATATAAACCCTTTTTCCTAGCTCCAACAGACCTCACTACCTCTGAGGATGCTTGCCATAGATGCAGGCGAAACGTCAGGAGAGAATGCCTCTAGAGCATGGCCATATAGCCCGAAAAAACCTACAACAACCCAAAATAGATATTAGTTTGAAGAATCCATGTTCACTCTTTATATGGTTCTTCATCACATTGCGTCTAATGGCACATCGAGTCATGTGATTAACCCCTTCCCCAAAATAAATAATGTTCCCTTGTAATTTCAGTACAGTATGAATCATTGAATCATAGAGCTGGAAGAGACCTCATGGGACATCCAGTCCAACCCCCTGTCAAGAAGCAGGAAAATCACATTCAAAGCACCCCCCACAGATGGCCATCCAGCTTCTGTTTAAAAGCCTCCAAAGAAGGAGCCTCCACCACACTCTGGGGGCAGAGAGTTCCACTACTGAACAGTTCTCACAGTTATGACATTCATAAGTTAGAAGAACAAGGTGTCCTGAATTGGTTTGAGAGGCAACAGATTTATAATTGGAAAAAAGGACTGGATAAGGAAAAATCCCAGATGTAGAGCATTGAGGAAAGGCTAACTAAACTTAAAAACCAAGAAATAATGGGGAAAGGATTAATTGGGAAAATATATAATGGATTAATTGGCGAAGAAATAGGGCTGAAGTTAGAAAAGGTATGGGAAGAACAGGATAAATAGGGCCTCTGACAGATTTTGGTTAGAAAAGGGTTCTAAAGTGGAGAGTGGTTAATAAGACTAAAAGAAAATGCATACAAAGTTATATGGAGATGGTATACTACACCAGTCAAACAACATCAGATGGATAGCAAGCAAAGTAACATCTGCTGGAGATGCAGCATGCAGAAAGGGACATATTTTCATTTATGGTGGGAAGGCCTTACTGGTATATTATTTAAACTGTTATGTTTATTCATATCATGATCTGATCACCATGCTCAATATATCTCATATGCATGGGGGTATTGGGGTAACGATACAAAAGGTTTGCTAGGCTAGACCCCCTTTCACTCAGACTCAGCCCCCCCCCCCCTGAACCAAACTCAGCTCCCCCGAAACAAAATCCTGGCTACGGACCTGCTTGGAGGGCTGAAGTTTGGCCATGTCTGGTTTAGGAGAACTGAAAAGCTAAAGAACCGAGATGAGCAAGGCAGCTCCCAAAGCTTTGAATGCTGATTGTATCAAGAAGAAGAAAAGTGTTAGATTTGTTAGATTTGCTTACCAAACAGAGTGGGCTCTATGCTTGGTGGTCGCAGCTCTTTCTCATGCTTGGCCAGGAGAGACCGGATGAGACCGGGCAAGTCTTTTGGCCTCTTCTGGGTCTTTGCTTTGCTTTCTAAAGGAGAAGAAGGAATCAAAAGAAGAAAAATAAAGTGACTGAAGCCCTTTAAGCACAATGTATAGATCTCTTCCTCCTCTTCTATCTGTACATAGCATTAGCTCACTATACTTTCCCCAGTATTTATTATTATTAATGTGCACAAGGTACAGTGAGGGATAGGGGCAACTTAGTGGTATTGTCAGGCCTGTAACCGGGGGGGGGGGGATTAGGGTTCAACCTCCCCCCGCCCCAAAAAATGTTAGGTTAAAAAAAACCTGGTTTACTCATGAATTTGAACTGGCTAACCAAATCCCCATGCTAAGTCTATGAGACACAAAAAATTAAGAGTCCCTCCAGAACTGCAAGCACTATCTCAAGCAAATATTGACAACTTACTCACACTGTCATTACTTGCAGCAATAGCGATGTAGCGAAGCAACCAAGTTGGGGGGGGGGGTGTTGAATGCTCTCATTAAGGAGGCCAAACTTGGTGGAGGTGGTTGACAGGGGCGGAGCTGCAGGCTATTGAAGGCTGCTCTGCCCCCTGGTGTTCTCTTTGCTTCAGCGTGACCCTACCCCCCAAAAAAATTTCAACCCCCCCCCCCCAAATTTCAACCCTCCCTGAAATTTTTTTTCTGGCTACAGCCCTGGGTATAGTGTCAACTTACTGGTAAGGTGACTATCCATATTACATCTCAAAGCATTTCTCAACAGTGATGTTTGGCAATCCATGGTTCTGTGACCACCCTTCCAGTTAGGGGTATCACACACACACTCACACACACGCAAAGAGAGAGAGGGAGAGAGTTCTGCTGCTCTAGTAATTTTTTTAAAAAAACTTTTCATTCAAGCAACTTTGCAATTTTAGCAAAAGTTAGTTGAAAAAACTCGAAATCTTTAATTGCTTTGAGGGGAGAGTGGGAGAGGAGGACAATAGAAGAGGATCAGCAATATTGCACAAAGCAAGAACTGGGTCAGTGTTGCGATCTGGGGTCAATAGCTTGAGGATGGGTTTGTCAGCTGGAGGTGGCACAACAACAAAGGTTGCAGGTGACATCATGTGATAGGAACCTTTGGTGAAGGTCCTGCCTCAATGCTAGCTTGCCCACCATCCCTGCAATAAAATCTTATATCTCTGCATGCAAACCTGCCAGATCTTTAAGATCCTCAGGTGAAGACTTCGAATCATAGAATCATAGAGTTGGAAGAGACCTCATGGGCTAGCTAATCCAATCCCTTGCCAAGAAGCAGGAAAATTGAATTCAAAGCACCCCCGACAGATGGCCATCCAGTCTCTGTTTAAAAGCCTCCAAAGAAGGAGCCTCCACCACACCCCGGGGCAGAGTTCCACTGCTGAACAGCTCTTGTGGTTAGGAAGTTCCCAAAGGCAGCTCCCAAAGGCAGAAAACAAGCCTGATCCCTATGACTTCCCCTCACATGAATTTTTTGGCTCATGTTCACCCTCCTGTCCACGAGGACTCCAAGATCTTTTTCACACATACTGTTCTCAAGCCAGGCATTGTCCCCCATTCTGTATCTTTGCATTTCATTTTTTTCTGCCCAAGTGGAGTATCTTGCATTTGTCCCTGTTGAACCTCATTTTGTTAGTTTTGGCCAATCATCTCTCTAATCTGTACAGATCGTTTTCAATTCTGCTCCTGTCTTCTGGAGTATTGGCTATCCCTCCCAATTTGGTGTCATCTGCAAACTTGATGATCATGCCTTCTAACCCTTCATCTAAGTCATTAATAAAGATGTTGAACAGGACCGGGCCCAGAATTTTTTTCCAGGATGAAGAAGCATTGTGAGCACAATTACAGATTCACCTAACCATAGTTTTACACAGCCTACGTCAAATGTGGGCTAGGTAAAACTAGTTTCTTTTGGTCCCACCAGCAGTGGAATATACTGCTACCTGGGGGAATTGTGGAGTCTCTTTCTCTGAAGGTTTTTAAGCAGAGACTGCCTGGCCATCAGTTGGAAGTGCTTTGGTTATACGTTCCAGCATGGCAAAATTAGATTGGACTGGATGGCTTTTGTGTTTTCTTCCAAACCAATAATTCAATGATTCAGTGGCTGCTCCCATCCTCTGGAGTGCCCTTTCATGGGAGGCAAGGCTGTCAACCCAGCTTACTGTTGACCCAAGACTTTTTTTATTCAAGCAGGCTTTAAACATGTAAATAAGAGAGTTTTATGGGGTTACTTTAGACTTTCGGTTGCTGTGAGTTTTCTGGGCTGTATGGCCATGTTCCAGAAGCATTCTATCCTGATGTTTTAACCACATCTGTCAGGTGAAATGTCAGGAGAAAATGCTTCTTCAACATGGTCATACAGCCCAGAAAATTCACAGTAACCCATTGATTCAGGCCATGAAAGCCTTTGACAACACGTTATACTTTTTGTTTTTAAAACTGTGTGTATACTGTATTATATGGTTTTAATTGTTCCCATTTTATTGTGACTATTTTATTTGGTCTTTGGATTCTGTTCTTGGAAAGAAGTGGCAAACAAATGCAACAAAATAAAATAAAAGCCAGAAATTAACCAATACTGCAGGGTTGGAGGGAGGGTCCCAAAGTTGCCGACATCACATCTTCTGGACATAAAGGAATCATTCCCTTTTGAAAAAGGCATTTGCTACTATCTGCTTCTATCAGCTAGGAAAGAGCAAGCATGTATGGTGACTTTTACCTTCAATAATCCAGCCCTCAACCTCAGGCAAAGACAAAAGTATCTGCTATAACCAGATAAGCAGAAACCCCAGTTAAATGAAGCAGACTTACACTAAATATGGCATCCATGATTCCATTATTATGGGTGATTTTATCAGCAAGGGGCCACACAGATTGGTCACAATTGTTTATTATGCAGTCTCGATGTATTCTTCTTTCTTTTCTTACAAAAGAAAGAAAAAGACAGCGGCACACCCCTTACTAAACTGAATCTATGACTACATCGCTCAAGACTGTCAGCTGAGAAAATAGGGTGTCCCCACAATGTATTTTGCATGATAACACGATTTGGCAATTTTTATATTTATCATCGCCTGAAATCTTTAACTCTGTACTTGCTTTTGGTGGAATCACTTTGGTGGTGCAATGGGTTAAACCCTTGTGCTGGCAGGACCACTGACCGAAAGGTCATCAGTTTGAATCCAGGGAGCAGTGTGAGCTCCTGTCTGTCAGCTTCAGCTTCTCATGCGGGTACATGAGAGAAGCCTCCCACAGGATGGTAAAACATCTGGGTGTCCCCTGGGCAACGTCCTTGCAGACAGCCAATTCTCTCACACCAGAAGCGACTTGCAGTATCTCAAGTTGCTCCTGACACACACAAACACAGAAAAGCACCTCACTGATGCCCGAGCCATCCAAAACTCATTGACTTCTTACCATGCTTAGGAACTTTCTTTGGCACACAGTCACCACCAGAATCTTCCTCATAATTGGGGAAACAGGGACCGCAGGTAGGCGCCCCATCAGGTCCGCATCCCAAACGTCGACGGAGTAGGCAGTTGAGTTTGTACCTGGCAGGGCAGAGGGGGTCTGCAAAAGAGAACATGAGAAAATAAAATAAGAGGAAGGTGGACTGACTAAAAAAGATACAGCAAGGCTTCTGATTGCTAGGAAAGATTCCTTAAGGTAAAGGTAAAGGTTTCCCTCAACATTAAGTCTAGTTGTGTCCGACTCTGGGGAGTGATGCTCATCTCCATTTCTGAGCCAAAGAGCTGGCGTTGTTCGTAGACACCTCCTAGGTCATGTGGCCAGCATGACAGCATGGAGCACTGTTACCTTCCTGCAGAAGTGGTACCTATTGATCTATAAAGCTCTATACGGTTCTGGCCCAGCTTACTTGTCCAAACGCATCCACCCCTATGTCCCATCTCGTAATCTAAGATCATCCGGGGAAGTCCTGCTCTTGCTCCCGTCAATTGCACAAATGCGTCTGGCGGAGACGAGAGACAGGGCCTTCTCAGCGGTGGCCCCCCGCCTATGGAACACACTCCCAAATGAGGTAAGATCTGCTCCCTCCCTCCTGGCTTTTAGAAAGAAATTAAAATCATGGCTTTGGGACCAGGCCTTCGGACAGTAGATGTATGTAGAGTTTAAAGGACATGGACTAGAATGACAATACGACTGGCAAGACTGTTTTTATTATTTATTGTTTTAATGATTGCTTATATAGTGTCTAATTATGATTTATGCTTAATTGCGTTTTATTATTGTGGTTGTTATGGATTGGCATCGTGTCAGTGTCCAATGTATGGCATTGAAGTTTTGCCAGTTATATGTAAATTGCTTTGAGCTTCCCTAGGGGTGAGAAAAGCGCTATAGACATACTGTAAATAAATAAATAAAATAATACGGACATTTGCACATTTTCGAATTGCTAGGTTGTAGAAGTTGGGCCTAACAGCGGGAGCTAATCCCACTCCCCAGATTTGAACTTCTGACCTTTTGGTCAGCAAGTTTGGCAGCTCACTGGTTTAACCCGCTGCACCACCCATAATTCCTAGTGAACTCTCTTCCACTCCATTAACTCTTCCAATTTCTGCTTTCAGACCACAAGAATGCCCTTATCTCTTAGCTTTCTATAGCATGTAGCAGAATATCTATGATCTCATCAACCCTTACACCTGATAACTGTGTTGGCTGAAGCCAGGTCCAGCTATTCACATGTATCTATAGTTGTAGGTTTGATTTTCCAGGTATGCATACCAGATTTTTTTAGAGAGCTGCCATTCCTGAAGCTCCATTCATTTCTGAGTCATCAGAGAGGCTATCATCGTTTTCTACTGCAATTCCTTCTCTTTGATCACATAGTGATCAATTCTGTTATCTGAAAGTGATTATAAATATGTTTGCTACATTCACATTTTATATTTTCAGCTTTATAAAGTATTCTAAAGTTGTCACATGTGAAGACAATCTCTGAGACTCTTTAAGTACTCTTTCCTTTATTTTCTAGACCACCCATGGGAAAAAAATCAGCTCTCCAGGTGTTTTGGACTCCAACTCCCACAATTCCTAACAGCCTCATGCCCTTTCCTTTCCCTTCTCAGCTGCTTTAGCAGCTGAGGGGGAAAAGGAAGGGGCCTGAGACTGTTAGGAATTGTGGGAGTTGAAATCCAAAACATCTGGAGGGCCAAAGTTTGCCTATGTCTACTTTAGACCAAGAGTGGGACACCTTTAGCCCTCCCATGACTCCTTATGGGTTGGGCTTTAACACAGCTGGTAAAGCACCATCAGTGATAAGGTCTACCAACCAAAATGTTACCAGTTCGAAGCCCCGGGTTGGCATGAGCTGCCAACTGTCAGCCCAGCTTACTGTTGACCTAAGCAGTTTGAAAACAGCTTGAGCTGTAATTAGAGAAATTAGGTACCCTTAAGCAAGCGGGAGAGGTATTTTACAACAACATAAAGAAAAAAGATCAGAAAATGCCTGATGACCAAACGGAAGGAGGAAGTCCTGATGGCTCTTCGTCATACAGGATGGAGCAACAGCACCCCCCTGTGGCCGGATTTGAACACAACCTTCCAAGGTGCCAAAAAGCTGGATGTCGACACAACATACCTCCTTTCTGTTCTGTCTGTCTCTGTAATGTTTATCAAAATGGCATTGAATGTTTGCTGTACCATGTACTGTGATCCACCCTGAGTCCCCTTGGGGAGACAGGGCAGAATATAAATGAAGTGTTGTTATTGTTGTTGTTGTTATTATTATTATCCTTAGCCATTGTATCTGGGATTTCTGAGAGCTGAAATGTGAAAGCATTTTGAAGACGTGCTACTAATTCCTTCAGTGAGCTTGCAGATGGCAATCATTTATGCTATAAGCAGCACAAAGAAGATAACAGTGTTGTTGATATTTTGTTTTCATGCAGCCTTTCCACCTCAGGGCTGTATATCTGGTGGTGAGATATTGCATTCTCTCATCACCTCCACTTCCCAAGGACAAAACTGTCATGTCTCTTGACATCTGCAATGTGGTTATAGAAGGTTTTTTGGATGAGAGTTCTCATTTTGACGTTCCCCCTTAGCCATGACAGACTAAGCCTTTCTTTACCAGCCTTAATTCCTTATTTGTAAATTGAAGGCAATAATGGGAAAGTGATATGCATAAGGGTTGGAAATGGTGAGCCATGGACAACAGGAGGACCCTGTGTTTTTTTGCACACCCCCATCTCCAAAATGGCCCATTTTCACTCTTGGAGGCCTCTAGCAGATGCCGGTTACTTAATTAATCCAACCTCCAGACTCCCCAGATCACCAAAAATGGGGTCCAGAAGTGACTCTGTTTTGTTCTGGTTGAAGTATTGGGAGACAATACAAACTATAGTTGATTTTGATTACACCAGGATTTGAAACCCTGGTTGGCCATGAAAATTCACTGGTGTGCAAATCACACAGTCTCAGCCCCAGAAAATCATGTTGAGGTTCAGTGTAGGGATGCCATAATTGGAAATGACAAAGGCATACAACATCGTCATCAACATAATCATAATCATTGACAGCAACCAAGTCTTATTGTTCCTCACTTCTCTCTGAAACAAAGATTGTCTATAAATAGTTGGATGTTTTGCTTGTTTTCCTATTTAAAGAACAACCTTGTTTGCTTCGATGTAGAGATCTGTTTTAACGATGAGTTATACATTTCATATTAAAAGTAGACATTGCGGAGAGGTGAAAACCCAAAGTCTACTTTCTATTTGAAACCCTGTTTTGCACCTGTGAAACATGGACTGTACAGATGTCACACTCAACTCCTGGAACAATTCCATCAGCGTTGCCTCGGAAAAATCCTGCAAATCTCTTGGGAAGACAGGCAGACAAATGTCCATGTCATAGAAGAAGCTAAGACCACCAACACTGAAGTGATGCTCCTATGCCATCAACTCCGCTGGATTGTCCAAATGCCCAAGCAGTTGTGAGTTACTAAACTCACAACTAAAGAACGGAAAACATAACATTGGTGGACAGGAAAAGGGATTTAAAGATGGGTTTAAAGCCAACCTTAAACATTCTGGCATAGACACAGAGAACTGGGAAGCCTTGGCCCTTGAGTGCTCTAGCTGGAGGTTAGTTGTGACCAGCAGTGCTGTGGAATTTGAAAAGGCATGAATGGAGGGAAAAAGGGAGAAACGTGCCAAGAGGTAGAAGTTGCATCAAGCTAACCCTGACCAGAACTGCCTTCCACCAGGGAAACCGATGCCCTCACTACGGGAGAGCATGCGGGTCAAGAATAGGGCTCCACAGTCAACTACACATCCACCACCAAGACACTAGACTTTGAAGGCCATCATACTTGGACAACAAGGGATCGCCTAAGTAAGTAAGTAAGTACGTACAGTAGAATCTCGCTTATCCAACATAAACAGGTTGGCGGAATGCTGGATAAGTAAAAATGTTGGATAATAAGGAGGGAGTAAGGAAAAGCCTATTAAACGTCAAATTACATTATGATTTTACAAATAAAGCACCAAAACCATCATGTTTTACAACAAATTGGCAGTTCAATGCATAGTAATGCTATGTAGTAATTACTGTATTAATACCAAAACATTGCAATGTATTGAAACAGCTGTGGATCTGGGCGAGAGGCAGACTGCATTGGAAAATACAGAATATTGGATGAGAAAAGGTTGGATAAGTGAAACTCTACTGTAAGACTTTGCGCAGAAGTGAAAACCCAAAGTCTATTTTCTATTTGAAAAGAAGGTTTTCATCTTCACCCCATCACACATACATAAGGCCTTTATGTATGTGTGAAAAAAAATCATAGAATCAAAGAGTTGGAAGAGATCTCATGGGCCATCCAGTCCAACCCCCGCCAAGAAGCAGGAAAATTGCATTCAAGACACCCCCAACAGATGGCTATCCAGCCTCTGTTTAAAAGCTTCCAAAGAAGGAGCCTCCACTACACTCTGGGGCAGAGAGTTCCACTGCTGAACGGCTCTCCCAGTCAGGAAGTTCTTCCTAATGTTCAGATGGAATCTCCTTTCTTGTAGTTTGAAGCCATTGTTCTGCGTCCTAGTCTCCAGGTCAACAGAAAACAAGCTTGCTCCCTCCTCCTTATGACTTCCTCTCACATATTTATACATGGCCCTCATCATGTCTCCTCTCAGCCTTCCCTTCCTCAGGCTAAACATGCCCAGCTCTTTAAGCTGCTCTTCATAGGGCTTGTTCGCCAGACCCTTGATCATTTGAGTCGCCCTCCTCTTGACACATTCCAGCTTGTCAATCTCTCTCTTCTGGTGCCCAGAATTGGACACAATATTCCAGGTGTGGTCTGACCAAGGCAGAAATAGAGGGGCAGCATGACTTCCCTGGATCTAGACACTAGACTCCTATTGATGAAAGCCAAAATCTCATTGGCTTTTTTTTTGCCGCCGCAGCACATTGTTGGCTCATGGTTAACTTGTTGTCCACGAGGACCCCAAAATCTTTTTCACATGTACTGCTCTCAAGCCATGCAAATAAGCTGGTAAAGCATTGTACACCTATATAGTGAAGGGCGATGCACCTGTTGAATGCCTACTTGTCATGAATCTATTCAAAGTGTAAGAATATTGTTGAGAAAAGGGAGGAAAAGGAATGTCACTCTTGCCAAGTTTGGAATTAAGGAAGCAGGTTTGGGAGTTTTGGAGTTGTGAGAAGTGGCACATAGTGGGTCAGTCACAGGGCTCGCAGCTCAGGGCTTCTTTGTCCTCTGAGAGCAGTTACGCCAGCAATGCAGGTTGAAAGCAGAATGCACCAGGTTCTCTAGAAAGGGAGGGGGACATAGTCCATCATAACAGGGAGACAAATCCCTTGGGAAGAATGGATGAGGAAAAGATGGCAATAAATAATCTGAGCCAAAGGAACGGAAGATAGGATTCCTTTGGGAAGCCTGTCAGAAAACAATAACAACAGAAGTGTGTACAGAAGGCTCTCTTCCTTCCCCAATATGAGAATATGCATAGCCCTGCCCACTGCCTAATTGGTAATTAGCTGAAGATACTCCCAATGAAAAAGGAATGATTATTATTGTATTAAACCCACACATTCTACCAGTTTGGGGAGGGGACAGAGGCAAGAGAGGGACTAATGATGCCATCACTCCCAGGTTCTCCGAAATCACAGCTAGCTCTAGATGAGATGATTACATTTCTCCTAACTAACCTCTGTCTCCATCTATTCCTTCGCTCTTACTTGTTTCTCATCTTTCCTGTCTTTCTTCTTCCAGCCTTTCCTCTCTTGGGGAGCCCATTCTCTCGCTCTCTTTTTGTTTTTCTCCACTCCCTCCTTTTCTCCTCCTCTCCCACATCCCTCCTTTCATGAAGTCAGTCACTCTCATCATTCACACTCCAATCTTCCTTCCTCCCCATCCAATATCAGTTCTGCATCCCTCTCATCTCCCTCCCCATCCCTGAGACAGGTACCCCCCCCCCTCACCTGCTTCCCAGCTGGCTCCTGTTGCCAGAAGGGCTGAGAAGATCACCAGCCATGGATTTGCTTTGCCCAGCATCTCCTTCCAAGAATGGATGTACAGCTCGGGGTCGCTGTGTGTTTGGAGGGGGGATGGATAGTGCCCCCCCTCCCCAACTATAGCAGGGGGTTGTCCCCCTTTGCGGAGGCTGGCATCTAGCCGGATGCGTGAGAAGACCTGGTTGTGCTGGCAGGAGGAGGGACTGCAGGTCTTTATGAATGAACTAAGGATGGGGAGGGTAGTCAGGCAGGGAAATGAAAATGTTCCTCTATATGTCTTGAGGACTTGCCAGGGTGGGGGAGGACTAGAGATGGAGGGATAGATGCATGAATAGTAGAGGAAACTGACAAGTTAATTGGATGGAGAGACAGAGGTACAGCAGATACACTGCATCTATGAATGCGTAGCTGAGTCAGAGCTTTGATCATTGTCAAAACCATAATATGTCTGTATGCCTGTGGCGTGTGCCTATTTGTTAGGGAGAGAGGAAGGACAAGAATGAAGGGGGGGTGGGGAAGGGAGCAAAGATGTTCCTCACGTACACATTGGGCACCAACACCATGTACACTGTGCAAATATTTTGCCAAATTCATTCTCTCCGGATGTTTGGTCTAAACTTTTTGAAGAGTAGAAATATTGCATTACTGACCATCAGTTTTCAAGATATTTTTTGTAGCCATTGGTTTGGAGTGTTTTGATTGTGTTTTCCTACATGGTCGAATAAGTTTGGACTGGGTGGCCCTTGGTGTCTCTTTCAACTCTATGATTCTACTGTATTATACAACTTTCTTTTCTTTTGTTTTAAAAACAAACATGTATTTCCTTTCTTTCTTTCTTTCTTTCTTTCTTTCTTTCTTTCTTTTCCCTCTTCCTCCCTTTTCTTCCCTCCTTCCATCCCTTTTTCCTTTCCTTTCATTTCCTTTCCTTTCCCTCCCTTCTTTCTTTTGCTCCCTTCCTTCCTTCTGTCCTTCATTCCTTTCCTTTTCTTCCCTCCCTCTATTCCCTTCCTTTCTTTTTCCCCTCCCTCCTTCTTTCCTTTCTTTCCCCCCTTTCCTTCTTCCTTCTCTTTTCCTTCCTTTCCTTCTCCCCTCCCTCTCTCCTTCCTTTCCTTCCTTCTCTTCCTTCCTTTCCTTTCCTCCCTTCCTTCTCCTTCTTCCTTCCCTCCTTCTCTTCCTTCCTTCCTTTCCCTCTCCCTCCCTCCCTCCTCCCTCCCTTCCCTCCTTTTTCCTTCCTTCCTTCTTTCCTTCCTTCCTCCCTCCCTTTTTCCTTCTTCCTTCCCTCACTCCCTTTTTCTCTCTTCCTCCTTTCCTTCCCCCCCTTCCTTCTTCCTTCCTTTCTTCCTTCATTCCTTCCTTCCTTCTTCCTCCTTCCTTCCTCCTTCCCTCTCTACCCTTCCGTTTTCCTCTTCTTCCTCCTTCTTCCCTTCCTTCCCTCCTCCCCTTTTCCCTTCCTCCTTCCTTCTTTCCTTCCTTCCTCCTCCTTCCTTCCTTCCTCCTTCCTCCCTTCTCCCCCTCCCTCCCTTTTTTCCCTTCCTTCCTTCCTTCTTCCTTCTTCCTTCCTTCCTTTTCCTTCCTCCTTCCTTCCTTCCTTTTTTCCCCTTCCTTCCTTCCTTCCTTCTTTCTTTCCTCTTCCTTTCTTCCTTCCTTCCTTCCTTCCTTCCTTCCTTCCTTCCTTTCTTCTTTCTTCCTTCCTTCCTTCTCCTCCCTTCTTCTCCTCCCTCCTTCTCCGCACCCACCCTTCACTGCCTTTCTGCCTCCCTCCCTGTGTTTCTCCTCTAAATGTTCAAGGTAATTTTTGTGTAAAGATTTTTCAGGAACTTTTCAATGACTAAAAGGGTGACACATAAATATATATATGTACGCAAACACGCATATCACAGTCACTCAAACAAAGAGAAGCACATATTGCACCTGTCTGTGGATCTGTAAATGCAGTGTGAAACATAGGCGTGATCCCAAAGGCATTTATCTCAGAGGAAGTTTTGTCGGAACCATTGTCTGAGCAGACCACTTACTAATAATCATATTTGCATTTGTAGCACTAATGCAGAATCATAGAGTTAGAAGACACCACATGGGCAATCTAGTAAAACCTCTTGCCATGCAGGAAAAGCACAATTAAAGCAGCCCTGACAGACGGTCATCCAGCCTCTGTTTAAAAGTTTCCAAGGAAGAAGCTTCCACCACACTCTGAGGCAGACAGTTCCACTGTTGAACAGATGCAATAGTGTGCTAACGTTCATGTTCAATGCAGCCGCTGATCCCAAGAAATGGCTGCAATATCACTTGTAATGGAGCCCCCAGTGGCACAGTGGGTTAAAGCACTGAGCTGCTGAGCTTGTTGATTGAAAGGTCGCAGGTTCAAATCTGAGGAGCGGCGTGAGCTTCCGCTGTCAGCCCCAGCTTCTGCCAACCTAGCAGTTCGAAAACATGCAAATGTGAATAGATCAATAGGTAACGCTCCGGTGAGAAAGTAACAGCACTCCATGCAGTCATGCCAGCCACATGACCTTGGAGGTGTCTACGGGCAATGCCTACTCTTCGTCTTATAATGGAGATGAGCACCACACCCAAGAGTCAGACATGACTGCACTTAATGTCGGATACCTTTACCTATCACTTGTAAGGTAGCAGAGATTTACATTAAAAGTGGCCTAGGATTTTAATCCTATAGATGTTTGTACACTGAGTTCAATTGTATTTATTTACTCCAGGGACTAAGTATAAGAACCACTATGGTTTTAATTTTAGACTAGAGACTCCTAGTTGACTTTGGGCAAGTCATACCCTTTTAGTCCTCAGAATGGGAAACCTCCAATGAATAAATCTTGCCAAAAATACCCCCTCCTTCAATAATAGAGTCACTGTAAATCAGAGTTTACCTGAAGACACATAGCAACCACCAAAGCATGTATGTGTAAATGTGTAAAGGGCCTCACTCTTAGGCCCCATCTCCACTGCAGTCTAAACTAGTGCTGGTTTTGACCTATAAAACCCTATATGGTTCCAGCCCAGCATACCTGTCCGAATGTATCTCCTTCTACGTTCCACCTAGGAGTTTAAGATCTTCTGGAGAGGCCCTGCTCTTAGCCCCACCCCTGTCACAAACACAGCTGGCAGGGAAGAAAGACAGGGCCTTCTTGGTGGTGGCCCCCCGCCTGTGGAATTCACTCCCTGGGGAAATTAGGTCATCTTCATCCCTCCTCTCCTTTAGAAGGAAATTAAAAACTTGGCTGTGGGATCAGACCTTTGGGTAATCTGCAGACTTGACGACGACAGTGATGACAATGGCAGTGGAAACGGTTTATGGACAAGTTTTAGGGAGCCTTCAATTACAGAACTTGACAGAACAATGGCCACCAGACTGGCTTTCTTTTTTAGTAGACTTTTAGTAGACTATTTAGAATTATTGTTTTGATGTGTATTTTGTTGTGCTGCTTGTAGGCATTGAATATGTGCCAGTTGGGAGTCACCCTGAGTCCCCCCTCCGGGGGGGGGGGGGTGAGAAGGGCAAGGTACAAATACCTCAAATAAATAAACAAACAAATAAACTATGGTAAGCTTCCCAGCAGCATGGAAATGATCTGTCGGATAGATGGCAAGCTATTTAGTCTCAGAAGAACAGAAGCCAAAACCAAGGTCATAACAATGTCTGTTACAGAACTCCAATATGCTGATGATAACGTATTCTGTGCTAATTCAGAAGCCACTCTAAAGCTTTTGATGGGTGAATAACTCAGGACTATGTCTGTTCTTGTTTTTATTGTATTTTAAAGTTAATTGTATTGTTTTAATCTACTGCGGTAAACTGCTCTGAGCCAAATTGGGAGTAGCGATATACAAGTCAAATAAATAAATAAAGAAATAAATGCCTTTGCAGAAGCATACAAGAAGTTCAGCCTCCCACTGAACATCATAGAATAGAATCATAGAATCATAGAGTTGGAAGAGACCCCGTGGGCCATCCAGTCCAACCCCCTGCCAAGAAGCAGGAAAATTGCATTCAAAGCACCCCTGACAGATGGCCATCCATCCTCTGATTAAAAGCCTCCAAAGAAGGAGCCTCTACCACACTCCAGGGCAGAGAGTTCCACTGCTGAACAGCTCTCACAGTCAGGAAGTTCTTCCTCATATTTAGATGGAATTTCCTTTCTTGTAGTTTGAAGCCATTGTTCCGTGTCCTAGTCTCCAGGGAAGCAGAAAATAAGCCTGCTCCCTCCTCCCTATCACATATTTATACATGGCTATCATATCTCCTCTCAGCCTTCTCTTCTTCAGGCTAAACATGTCCAGCTCTTTAAGCCGCTCCTCATAGGGCTTGTTCTCCAGACCCTTGATCATTTGAGTCGCCTTCCTCTGGACACATTCCAGCTTGTCAATATCTCTCTTCAGTTGTGGTGCCCAGAATTGGACACAATATTCCAGGTGTGGTCTAACCAAGGCAGAATAGAGAAAACCAAAGTGGTCTTTCAGCGGTCACCAGCCAATCCCTCTGCAATGCCAGAAATGCAGCTTCGTGGTGTAACATTAAGTTGGGATTTGAAGTCCAAAACACTTGGAGGGCCCAAGTTTGCCCTAACTTCCAGGCTACATCATTGCACAATATTAGGAGAGAGGAAAAAACAGGCTTGGCCTGTTGACTTTCCAACCCTCTTTTGCGGTGAGGCCGCATCTCAACTTCCACGCCAACGGTTGCCACAGCAACCGCCTCTTTCCTGGTTACCATACTGTAAATTCCTCTAACTGGGATTCTGGTGTTGCCATGGCAACAGGATGGGAGGGGGAGAGTGAGCCTTCCTTGGGAGAGTTATTGATGAAGGAAGTGATGGAGGCACCGTAGAGGAAAACAAGGAACGTGCTATTAGGATCGGAAAGGGGAGGGAGAAAGGAACTGCGGCATAATATATCATGTAAATACAAATAATGGAAATACAAAATACTGTTATTTGGACCTGGCTTTCCAACCAGAAATGGGATTCACATATCCAAAGGGTATAGAAAGGTTTCACACACACACACAAAAAAAAAAAAAAAGGACCAATAGTGAAAGGACCAAGGCAGAAACATCTCCAGCTCATCCCCTGTTTGGGTATCAGCCAGCACGTCAACGACTTAAATCTAGACATAGTTTTCTAAGATCTACAGAGACACTCGCTGGAACACCTCAGCAAGCGAGAGTCCAAAAGTGGCAGGCTCAAACCCAGAACCTCAACCAATGGCTGATACCAAATGAGAGACTCCCCCCTGGGCACACAGAAGACTGGGCGACTTGGAAGGCGCTGAACAGACTGCGCTCTGGCACCACAAGATGCAGAGCCAACCTTCAGAAATGGGGCTACAAAGTGGAATCCTCGACATGCGAGTGTGGAGAAGAGCAAACCACTGACCACCTGCTGCAATGCAACCTG